TGGAGGTTAAAGAGCATCCTACTAAAGAATGAATGGGTCAACCAGGAAATTAAAGAAGAATTAAAAAAATTCATGGAAACCAATGAAAATGAAAACACAACTGTTCAAAAAAAAAAAAGAAAGAAAACACAACTGTTCAAAATCTATGGGATGCAGCAAAGGTGGTCCTAAGAGGAAAGTATATAGCAATACAAGCCTTTCTCAAGAAACAAGAAAGGTCTCAAATACACAACCTAACCCTACACCTAAAGGAGCTGGAGAAAGAACAGCAAATAAAGCCTAAATCCAGCAAGAGAAGAGAAATAATAAAGATCAGAGCAGAAATCAATGAAATAGAAACCAAAAGAACAGTAGAACAGATCAACGAAACTAAGAGCTGGTTCTTTGAAAGAATTAACAAGATTGATAAACCCCTGGCCAGACTTATCAAAAAGAAAAGAGAAATGACCCAAATAAATAAAATCATGAATGAAAGAGGAGAGATCACAACCAACACCAAAGAAATACAAACAATTATAAGAACGTATTATGAGCAACTCTATGCCAGCAAATTAGATAACCTGGAAGAAATGGATGCATTCCTAGAGATGTATCAACTACCAAAACTGAACCAGGAGGAAATAGAAAACCTGAACGGACCTATAACCACTAAGGAAATTGAGGCAGTCATCAAAAATCTCCCAACAAACAAGAGCCCAGGGCCAGATGGCTTCCCAGGGGAATTCTACCAAACATTTCAAGAAGAATTAATACCTTTTCTTCTGAAACTGTTCCAAAAAATAGAAACGAAAGGAAAACTTCCAAATTCATTTTATGAGGCCAGCATTACCTTGATCCTTAAATCAAAGACCCCATCAAAAAGGAGAATTACAGACCAATAGCCCTGATGAACATGGATGCAAAAATTCTCACCAAAATACTAACCAATAGGATCCAACAATACATTAAAAGGATTATTCACCACGACCAAGTGGGATTTATTCCTGGGCTGCAAGGTTGGTTCAACATCCGCAAATCAATCAATGTGATACAATACATTAATAAAAGAAAGAACAAGAACGATAGGATCCTCTCAATAGATGCAGAAAAAAACATTTGACAAAGTACAGCATTTTTTCTTGATTAAAACTCTTCAGAGTGTAGGGATAGAGGGTACATACCTCAATATAAAAGCCATCTATGAAAAACTCACAGTGTATATCATTCTCAATGGGGAAAAACTGAGAGCTTTCCCCCTAAGGTCAGGAACACGGAAGGGATGTCCACTATCACCACTGCTATTGAACACAGTACTAGAAGTCCTAGCCTCAGCAATCAGACAACAAAAAGAAATAAAAGGCATCTGAATTGGCAAAGAAGAAGTCAAACTCTCACTCTTTGCAGATGATATGGTACTTTATGTGGAAAACCCAAAAGACTCCACCCCAAAACTGCTAGAACTCATACAGGAATTCAGTAAAGTGGCAAGATATAAAATCAATGCACAGAAATCAGTTGCATTTCTATACACCAACAACAAGACAGAAGAAAGAGAAATTAAGGAGTCGGTCCCATTTACAGTTGCACCCAAAACCGTAAGTTACCTAGGAACAAATCTAACCAAAGATACAAAGAATCTGTACTCAGAAAACTATAAAATACTCATGAAAGAAACTGAGGAAGACACAAAGAAATGGAAAAACATTCCACGGATTGGAAGAACAAATATTGTGAAGATGTCAATGCCACCTACAGCAATCTACAGATTTAATGCAATCCCTATCAAAATATCATCAACTTTTCTCAAAGAAATGGGACAAATAATCCTAAAATTTGCATGGAACCAGAAAAGACCCCGAATAGCCAGAGGAATGTTGAAAAAGAAAAGCAAAGCTGGTGGCATTACAATTCCGGATTTCAAGCTTTATTACAAAGCTGCCATCATCAAGACAGTATGGTACTGGCACAAAAACAGACACATAGATCAATGGAACAGAATAGAGAGCCCAGAAATGGACCCTCAACTCTACGGTCAACTAATCTTCAACAAAGCAGGAAAGAATGTCCAATGGAAAAAAGACAGTCTCTTCAACAAATGGTGTTGGGAAAATGGGACAGCCACATGCAGAAGAATGAAACTGGACCATTTCCTTACACCACACACAAAAATAGACTCAAATGTTTGAAAGACCTAAATGTGAGACAGGAGTCCATCAAAATCCTAAAGGAGAACACAGGCAGCAAGCTCTTCAACCTCAGCCGCAGCAACTTCTTCCTAGAGACATTGCCAAAGGCAAGGGAAGCAAGGGCAAAAATGAACTATTGGGACTTCATCAAGATAAAAAGCTTTTCACAGCAAAGGAAACAGTCAACAAAACCAAAAGACAACTGACAGAATGGGAGAAGATATTTGCAAATGACATATCAGATAAAGGGCTAGTATCCAAAATCTATAAAGAACTTATCAAACTCAACACCCAAAGAACAAATAATCCAATCAAGAAACGGGGGGAAGACAAGAACAGACATTTTTCCAAAGAAGACATCCAAATGACCAACAGACACATGAAAAAGTGCTCAACATCACTTGGCATCAGGGAAATCCAAATCAAAACCTCAATGAGCTAACTCCTCACACCAGTCAGAATGGCTAAAATTAACAAGTCAGGAAATGAGAGATGTTGGTGAGGATGTGGAGAAAGGGGAACCCTCCTACACTGTTGGTGGGAATGCAAGCTGGTGCAGCCACTCTGGAAAACAGTATGGAGGTTCCTCAAAAAGTTGAAAATAGAGCTACCCTATGACCCAGCAATTGCACTACTGGGTATTTACCCCAAAGATACAAATGTAGTGATCCACAGGGGTACATGCACCCTAATGTTTATAGCAGCAATGTCCATAATAGCCAAACTATGGAAAGAGCCAAGATGTCCATCAACAGATGAATGGATAAAGAAGATGTGGTGTATATATATATACATACACACACACACAATGGAATATTATGCAACTATCAAAAAAATGAAATCTTGCCATTTGCAACGACGTGGATGGAACTAGAGGGTATTATGCTGAGCGAAATAAGTCAGTCAGAGAAAGACAAGTATCATATGACCTCACTGATATGAGGAATTCTTAATCTCAGGAAACAAACTGAGGGTTGCTGAAGTGGTGGGGGGTGGGAGGGATGGGGTGGCTGGGTGATAGACATTGGGGGGGTATGTGCTATGGTGAGTGTTGTGAATTGTGTAAGACTGATGAATCACAGACCTGTACCTCTGAAACAAATAATACATTATATGTTAAAAAAAAAAAAAAAAAGATAGTAGGAAGGGAAAAATGAGGGGCAGGGGGAAATTGGAGGGGGAGACGAACCATGAGATACTGTGGACTCTGAGAAACAAACTGAGGGTTCGAGAGGGGAGGGGGGTGGGGGGATGGGTTAGCCTGGTGATGGGTATTAAAGAGGGCACGTATTGAATGGAGCACTGGGTGTTATATGCAAACAATGAATCATGGAACACTACATCAAAAACTAATGATGTAATGTATGGTGATCAACATAACATAATAAAATAAAATTTTAAAAAAAATACAGGTACACTATTTTTAAGTAGCTTAACCTGGAAGTTTTGTGCTTTTCTGAGTTCTGTGAGAAAGATAAGCAAGAATTTGTTTATTTATTCATTCATTATTCATAAATCAGTACTCACTGATCACCTAGTATATCCCAGAGCACAGATTATGTGCTAGAAATATAAAGACAGAAATTCTCATTATATTGGGGGAAATATTATAACTTATTGGAATATTCCATAAAAGATGTATGTACAAAATATTCTGGGATCCCAAAGAAGCTACTCCTAGGAAGGGTCAGAAAACCTTCCAAAAGATAACATACAAAAATACATCTCTGAGTTGATTGCAAGAAGCAGAGGCTCAGCATGCATTGCCCGAAAGATTTCGTGTAGATGCACATTAACTAGAATTAGAACTAGAAAATCCCACGGAACCAAAAAGGCCCCATGTACCAATTACCTTCACTGTTCTTTTTCAAGAGACTCATAGTTTGATGACTTTTGCTTTGTCCTCCTGCTCCATGGCCCTCTCCATACTGACAGTTCTCTTACTACAGACTAACCATGTACTACTTATGATCAATCCTATCCATATTTTCTAGATCAGATCCTAGAGGATACCAGCATATTAGACAGACCCCTTGACCCATGTCCACTTCATAGCCACCAGCTAATCTTAAGATGGACTGCTTAGGGGGTTAATTCACTCCTGATCCATTCACTATTATCTCCTATACAAGGACTATTCATATTGTGTTCTTGGGTAGGGCACTAGGGAGCAAGGTAATTTTTCCTAGAAGGGCAAACTGAAGGTGGTAGGCATTGAGACCTGTATAGTTCTAAAGTATGAACAGGAGTTTGCCATGTAGATAAGGTTAGAAATGTCTTATCTAAACAACACCGTCTATATCGATATAAAGATATACTACCGTTTATGTGAACTCTACTGTATTCCATAAGTATTTTTAATATATCAAGCCTAATACTCAAAACAATGATGTGAGTCATGGCTATCATTCCCATTGAATTGAGGATAAAACTGATGTTCAGGAAAGTTAGGTAACTTGAGGTCAAACAGTTCATAATGGTCAAATCCAGAATTCATATCTAGGCTTACCTGACCCCCAAAATCTGTGCCTTTCCCACTGCTCCATGCTGATTCTTTGGAGCCTTGAAAGAACCTGGTACAATTCTATGATTGCAGACTTGACTTTGATAAGAGCAACAGAAAGTTAAACTGGAAGTGGCCCACTTTTTGCATACTTTCGGTGATTATACTAATAGCTTGCATTTGTCCATTAAAAGAAATCTCCCTGGAAAGTGACAGGATTGAAATTTTCTGCTCCCTTGAAGTTCTGTGTGACCCTATGACTTACTTGAGCAAATGAAGAGTGAAAAAGGTCAATCTGCTTGTATAGTTAAAAAAACTAGTACCTTACTCACCATGCTCTTGCTTTCCTCTATCGAAACCGGTGAGTTTCCAGAGAGTGCTGCCCTCCTGGCCTGGAATCCAAGTGAGAGTAGCATGGATCAGAATCTCCAGCCAACCCACGATGGACCTGGAGCATGAGCAAAAAACAATTTCTGTTGTTTAAAGCTACTGAGATGTGGGTGTTGTTTGCTACTATAGAATAATCTAGTTTGCCTGAATGGATAAATAGTGTGCATAGTTTGTGCAGTGGTGAAGGAGATGCAGTAAGGAGAAAGAAAGAAGGTCTGGTAGAATTTCACCACCACAAATTGAACTCACAATTAGTGCTGACTTTATTCTATTCATTAAAGGTGGCCCCAGAATGAATAGCCAAAAGGGGGTGGGAGGGAAAACACACAGGATCAGCCAGTGTAAGAGGCCAAAGCAAGGCTACCTTTAATCATTCACCTTTGGTAGCCACCATAACACCCAAATACCACCTGGATTGGAGAAGACTCACTATATAATTTCTTTTTTTATTATTTATTCAAATTCAATTAGCCAACATACAGTACACCATTAGTTTCAGATGTAGTGTTCAATGATTCATCAGTTGCATATAACACCCAGTGCTATAATTTCTTGTTCCACAAGCGAACAAGAACCAAATCCTACACCTTGCTTAAAGATGACACATGGTAACACCATGGAGAAGTAGCAGCCCTCACAGATTTTATGGTGTGGATCTGGTAAGGCAGGGATTGCTTAGAGCCTGTAAGTTTCCCAAGTTCAACCGATTTTATCAGTTAGAATAAATCTCACTCTGTGACCTCAAAATTGGCAAGAATAGTTTCACCCAAAGGCAGCACTTTCTCACCACATGGTGAAAATGTACATATTGGTCTGGCAATTTCTTAGGTACATATGGGTAAAATGCATTTAAAAATTTTGTGAATTTTGAAGGCTAGTTTCTTTTTCAAACTTTTGAAGAAATTGTGAATTTAGGAAATTATATGTTACTGTTAAAGTTAATATATTTAGTCTTAAAGAGTAATGGGAGTAAATGTCCAATAATAAATATTAATACATAGAATACACATATTACACAATATTTTAAAGGACTCAAATATTTTAAACATACAAAAACTTCATCCCTCAAACAAAATACGTGCCTCCAGCAGTGAGTGTACGATTTTTTTCTTATTCTTTATCTATTTTCTGAACAAAAACCGCCTGTGAAAAAAAACAATTCCCTTAAAGAGGGAAATAGTAAAAATGGACTATCAGTAGTATTTTAATAAAAGGAAGCTACTTACGCTTCCAAAATACTTGAATGCAAGATGTACTGCTGGTATAAGGAGAGGAAAATGTAACATGTGAAAAGTTGAAAAGCTAATTTGCAATTCATTCTAGAGCAACCCTTAAGTTCTAGAGGCAAGTGTTCTCAATTTATTTAGAAGAATCCTAAGCGATCTATATCAGGTCATCAACCACTTCTGTCAATCCTGTAGCGTATTGCAGAGGCTGTGGCATGTCCAAAGAGTGAAATATTCGGTTCATATTTGGTAGAATTATCCATACTTACCTTTAAACCCCTATGTACTATATCAAGGAAATTTGCACCAAGTGCAGTTGTTTCCTACAGTGAACCTTGAGGCTAAAATGCCCCTGGAACAAAAATAGTCTCCCCTAGAATATGTAGTCCTAATCCTTATCATCTTTTCTTATTTATTTTTTTAATTAACATATAATGTATTATTTCAGAGGTACAGGTCTGTGATTCATCAGTCTTACACAATTCTCAGCGCTCACCATAGTACTTCTCCCCAATGTCCATCACCCAGCCACCCCATCCCTCCCAACCCCCTCCACTCCAGCAACCCTCAGTTTGTTTCCTGAGATTAAGAGTCTCTTACCATTTGTCTCCCTCTCTGGTTTCATCTTGTTTCATTTTTCCCTCCCTTCCCCTATGATCCTCTGTCTTGTTTCTCAAGTTCCTCATATCAGTGAGATCATATGATAATCATCTTTCTCTGACTGACTTATTTCGCTTAGCATAATACCTTCTAGTTCCATCCACATCGTTGCAAATGGCAAGATTTCATTTTTTGATGGCAGCATACTATTCCATTATATATATATATACCACATCTTCTTTATCCATTTATCCTTATCATCTTTTCTTTCCCTTTTCCAGTCCATACCTTCCAACTTTAACCTGTACTTCTAATCTTGACATGATTTTATTTGAAATGGGGATAAGAAGAATAAAGTATTTTATAGTGCCAAAGGAATTAATGAGTCTTGAAGAGCCCAAAGTCTATTTTTCTACTGCTACAGAAACATATATTAAGTACCATCCCTACTGACTTATCTACATTTCATCAATATATAGTTAACTATTATCATTCAAACTGATATGTATAAATAAAGAAATATATATTAAATACTATATTACTTAATAAATATATAACATATTAATCATATTAAACAGATATTTAATATTAAAATGTAATATTTAAGCATGATAGACCACAACCAACCCAGAACAATGTTTGGTATATGGCAGGCGTCCAATAAATATTTGTTGAATATGTAGCTGAGTTAAGAAACTTTGAATCCATGAACTAATTCATATCTACGAAAAAGCAAGCCTTTAATTTCAAATATCTGAAGATGTTTAAAAGATAAAACTATTACTGCCTTTGAGACATCGTTAAAACAATACGAAAGGGCTACATATATGTCACAGCAGACATGGGAGTTTCATTTTAAAGGACTGTGAGGACAGACATTCAAAATAGAGATCTGGGGGGAGAATTATGTGAGTTGACTAGATTCGAAGTATTCAAGCTGGGCATAGCATCACTTACAAAAAGAAATCTTTCACTGTTCTGAAAGGTGGGTTCTAAACTAGTGCCCATTGAATATATTATTATTATAACATGTAGATTGAGCTCAATCTAAGAGTGAAATTTCAGAAGCAACATTTTTGGTGCTGTTTACTTACTTAATAATCATTCATATGAGATTAGAAGTGTTTTAGCTACTTGGGAGTTGCTGCCTGTCTGCACTGATATTCATCATTTCCAAAATCAGACGGAAGTCTCATTTATATATACATCATTCACTGTACGCCTTAGACTTACACAATGTCATATATCAATTATATCTCAATAAAACTAGAAAAATAAGAAGGGGGAAAGTCTCACTTCATTAAACAGAATCTTCAATTTGCCACATTTTTGCTTTCCCCACTTAGGTCAGGGAGACATGCAAAAAGAAAATATGCTGATATCTGTATGCGTTTTTTGTTTTGGTTTGGTTTGGGGGCTTTTTTAGGCATTACTTTCCATGTATATCCTGAAGTCAATGCAGTTTTGAATCAAGCCTTTAGGACTTCCACATACACAAAAATATCACAATACACTGAAGTTTGCAATAATGACCCTGAATTCTGTAGGGTCAAGGAAAATTTAGCTCAAGGTCATTGTGCTCCATTCATTAAGACAACCAAATAGATTTTTATATCTTAAGATTTATGGCAATAAATGCTTTAAAAATATCTTTCTTTAATCAGAAAATGCCAATAACCAAGATATCCAATCTCCTAGTCATTCTGATTAGTTGAGTTTATTTGCAACAATTCAAATCTTTGCAAAAAAGTTTAACTCTTCCTGGTGTTTTCATTCCATAATACCATATACCACCATTGAGTTCTCTCAGCAGACCAGCTTTTAGGTTTTTTTTTTTTTTTTTTTTTTCTGAAAACAGTACTGAGTTAACAGAGACCATAGCAAATGCTCTTGGGCTATGTTTTGAAAAATCTCTCAAAATCATAAAGTCATCATTGTACACAAGAAATGATATGAACATTTTTGCAATGAATTTTTTTAAAGAAAAGTTGATTTTCTAAGATTAAGATAAAGGAGAAGATGCCATCGTTCTTTATTTTGCTTTTATAATTATGTTTTTTAGTGAACTGCCGCAAACATTTTCATTTTGCTAATCACATTCTGAAACAGCCATAATTATACAGAATATAAGAAGTAACAGCTTTAGTAGTAATTATCTAGTACTGTCAAATTTAAAGAGTTTGATACTGAAGAACCTGGCAATGAGTAATTTAAAATAAAAAGTATATTAATATATTTGCCTGGGGAAAAAAAACTTCAAACATATCACTAACACTGGAAATCCCATGATTTGACAAGGATTAATAAACTTCTCCATAGAATAAGTCATTATTCAAGATAGTAGACTAGCCATAAGATGACAAATCCTACATCAAATGAATGTTATCACATTCAAAAACCTAAAAATGATCCTTGATTCCTTTCCTTCTCCCTACATATCACAAAGACCTGATAATTTTTTTTTTTTAAGATTTTTTATTTATTTGACAGAGAGAGACACAGCGAGAGAGGGAACACAAGCAGCGGGAGTGGGAGAGGGAGAAGCGGGCTTCCCGCCGAGCAGGGAGCCCGATGCGGGCCTCGATCCCAGGACCCTGGGATCATGACCTGAGCCAAAGGCAGACGCTTAACGACTGAGCCACCCAGGCGCCCCAAGACCTGATAATTTTAATCCCCTAAAGTATCTATCACCTTCTCTTTTCCATCCACTTCCTTCCATCTCCATCAACATAGTCTGTCTTCGCTGATACCCACCCTGCTCTGCTGCAATCGACAACTGACTGGTTTACATAAATCTACTCTTGCCCAGCCAGAGTCAAGTGTAAAAAAAATGATAATTTGATTGTCATCTACTCCATGCTCAATCCCCTCACTTGCTTGAATTATTTTAATTGCTTCCCAAGGCATTTATAAAGATAAACATTCCTAGCATAGCCTAAAGGGATGACTACTGAAGTTTCATTATCTTTTCCTTCTTCTCTAGATTCTGGCCACAGGAGTATATTTTAGTTCTCACTTACGTGTCATATGGACTCTCATAGTAAGGACTTGGTGCATGATGTTCTCCCTACTGGAATTCTATTTCTACCTCTATTTATCTAAAAAAAAAAACCCTAAAATTTGGTGGCCATTCTTACTTCTGTTTGCTAAATAGGTCTTATGACTCTAAATGAGTTTTCATTTATCAGCCCAATCATCACCTCCTCACCTTCCTCACCTTCCTAACTAGGTC